TTTTGCAAAATATTTTCTTTTTTCGCAAAAGTGAAAAGGTGGCTGGGAATAGATTCAATATATTTAATTACCTTATTGTATTATTATAGTTCTTTATTGGATCTAACAGTCCATATACATAAAATAACGAATATTAATGATAGACAGAAAAAATTGACGAAGAGAAAAAAATACTGACAATATGATAAATACAAAAAAAAAACAAAAACGAAGAAATGCTCGGTCCCTCAGAAGCGGACAACATCTATAAATTAACTCAGATCTCACACATCATACGGTAAACATAGCACACATACACATCTATCAACCTCCTGGTACTCGTACAATTAGCATCTTGTGAATCATATTAACAAATTTCTTTAAAGTCGCCGTATCAGGGGTTGACAAAATTTCACCCCAGAATAACTCATGGTTGTCCAAGGACTGAATTTCCGGGAAGCTTTCGCATTTTATTGTAAAATAAAATGGACATTCCACCAAGAAATGGTGAAAGTCTTCACGTGTTTCTTCACAGTGAGTGCAGTTGTTAGATGAGGGAAGCTTATAACTAGACCGACCAAAAACAAAATAGGAATAAAAATTATTGACCATGCGAATTTGCGCGTAAGCCCTCATCCATCTTAAGTTTAATCGACCTCTTAAGTAAGGCTGAACCGAGTTATGTAACGGCACGTAGGGCCAGACCTGAAGACTCGTAGAGCGGGCACGCGAATTCTCATCCTCCCTTAATAAATTTTGTGAATATTGCAAAAGAATCTCCTCAGCGTTATTACCTAATGTAAGTAAATTGTCGGGATCCCAGTATCTCTCCATGTTCCCCTTAACAAAATATTGCCGCAGTTGCTCAAACCAATTAAAGCCCGCCCCAATTGCATCCACCCTGGCTATCTCGATCAGCCTCAAAGAGCATTGCATTGGGTACCGAGAAATAGACATCCGAGAAATTTTTTTTAACCAATACAATGCTGCTCTGAGGACCGAATACGACAATGGCAATCTGCCTGTTTCCAGACGTAGAGCGTAGTTAGGAGTATTTTTAGGCAACTGAAGCAAGCCCTTCAAGAAGGATAGCTGCACCCGCTCCAAGAGGTCATCAAGACCCAAGCCCCAAGTTTCCATTCCGTAAAAAAGGTTACTGCATATTAGACTAATGAACAACCTTAAAAAAGTAGACCACGAATCAGCCCCGGAACCATGAATTACCCTTAGAGTCGCACCTATTGCTGCGGTAGCCGAATCTATATTTTTCTTTGCAGCTTCCCAGAAAGTACAATTATTTTTGAAAATGACACCGAGATACAAATATTGATCGACGACCTCAATCCTACTGTCTCCAAACTTAAAAGATTTAAATCGCTTCACCGATGAGTTGTTACCTCTATGGAATATAACAATTTTAGTTTTTTGTACATTGACATTTAATAAATTGCGTTGACAGTATAAATGTAAGGCATTTAGTTTTCTCGATAATTCTACGGGTGTATCAGATAATAATACCAAATCGTCAGCATATGCTAGCAGGAGGACCTCCAAAGCACTGTTAATGGATATGCCCCGACAATCATGTTCAATTAGAAAATTTTCCAAATCACTCAAAAATAGGGAAAAAAGTTGTGGACTTAATACTTCCCCCTGCAAAACCCCCCTCGTAACTCTAACAAAATCTGTTTGTCCATTGGCACAGAAGATGCAGGCGGAAGCATTTTCATAAAAGTTCTTAATTATTTCCAAAAACTTAGAACTGAGGCCTAATTTTTTTAATTTTAACCAAAGTAAATGATGAGATACTGACGGGAAAGCACTTTTAAAATCAATGAAGACCGCGTAAACAGCCTGCCTAGGAAATCTGAGGTGGATTTGTAATAAGGATGAGAGAGTAAACAAATTGTCGAGGCATCCCCTTCCCTTTCGAAATCCCGATTGAAACTCAGGTAATGCATTGTACTCCTCGCACCAAAGAAAAAGTCTTTGAGAAAGAATTTGCGTAAAAACTTTAGCTATGCAGTTAATCAAGGCAATAGGCCTGTAATTGTCGACCAAGGATTCATCTCCCTTTTTATGCAACATTAAAATTTTTATCTTTCCCCATGATTTTGGTACCTCTTCTTTACATAAAATTTTATTGAACATTTCTTCCAGATATATCAACCAGTTTTCCGGAAGTCTTTTAAGAAAATCGTAGCCAACTCCGTCACACCCTGCTGATTTCGCGTCTTTACATTTTTTTAAACTTAAAAGAATTTCATTCGAAGTTACACAACCATCAAGCAGGGGGTGAGTCAAAAATTCGTCCGGTAAGGGAGTGAAAGTTTCCGAGGAGAGAGAAAAGGCGGCATGGAGGTAGTCCTGCCAAGCGTTGCTGTCAATGCTATTTGAAGCTTTCGGAAAGCGTCGAAATTTGTTAATCAAAGACCAAAATTTTGAAGAACACCTGGCCGCTGCCAGCTCATCGGTTTGGGATTTCGCGTACAATCTTTTTTTTGAGAGAATCATACATTTATAATCCGCTTCTGCCACTCTGTAAGTCTCACCCGCAACATTTTAATAAAAATTTATAAGAATAATTACATTTTTCGAGGAATTCGCTTAAAATTAATTAAAATTGTATTGAAAATAATTGAAATTTTGCAATGAGTTTTATTATTTATGAAAATAATTGATTTAAGGCAAAGAATTTCATAAAAAATTGCAAACAATTGATTTCTTCCAAAAAAATTATTCAAATTCTATTTTTCATAATGGAATTCCTTTGAAGTTTTTATTATTTTATAAAATAATTGAATACTCGTGTCAAACTCTGTATATATTTTTAAAATAATTTAATGAATTGTTTTGGTAAATTTTAATATAATAATAGAATATTGATAATTATTGAATAATTATGAAAAATTTTTGAAAATATTTAAATTTTGAGAAGAATTTTATTAATAGTGATGAACACTGTTATTTATTTACTATTTATATACGATTTAATATTTATTTATATTATTTATTTATAATAAATAATATATTAAATAATAATAACAATATTAAAATTAATATTTTAATATTGTTTAAGATACTTAGTAAAATTCTTTTAAAAAATAGCGTTAAAATATTTAAAATTGAAATTAATTTCTACATAACTGTACAAAAAATTTTCAAAAAAATAATTTAATAAATTATTTTCAGACATCTAAAAAACATAACGTTTTTTTTAGAATTTCTGGTAATTTAATAGTTTATGAAGCAAACAAAAAGACACAAAAATTTAGAATTTTCTTATAATTTCGAAACTATTAATTTTCCAAGTACTTTTAATAAAATTCCCTGACTTATCCTTGATTTCCCTTACCTTGTGACAACCCTGATTCTATTTTAATTTTAATCTTTCTTTTAAATTCTAATAAAATTTTTAAACAATTTAGATACATAAGAATTGTATAGTATTTTATAATTTTTGCAGGAAGAAAAAAATGAGTTTGAGTTATGACGACGATAATGCTGTGGTGCGACAAATTTTGGAGTTGGCAGCTACCAACAATCCATTTGACATTGATAAATTTTTGATATATAATGATGATGATGCGAATTACAAATATATCACATTGGCTGCACGTAAAATAATACACGAAGAATTTTGTATAGAAAAAATTCGAACACTCATGGCGACGTACTGGCAGGATATAGGTATCTGTATTGACGGCTTCACATTGATGCAGTGGATGGTGATGGAAAATCTAAAAGTAGATTCTATAAGATCAGCAGCAGATGCAGGGATATTCGTCAGTGCTTTATCCGAAAAAGAGAAAGAAACCGTAATAACCATAACATTAATGCAATTGCAGAAGGAGAAAAGAAATCGATATGAAATTTTAGAGTACATCCAAATTATCGAATTTTTTCTAAATTGTGAACAAGAACCGTCGTTCGGTGACTTAGTGTCACTCGCATTTATTTTCTACTTCTATCAAAATGTCTTGAGTAATGACTTTAAGCAAACATTGAAAAATTTGAAATCAAATTCAGAAACTTTCAATATACTTATTTCTCGATTAGAGTTTTTCGGAGATAGAGAAATTATAAGTGACAGAAAAATTACGGTTAAAAGTTTTTTTCAAATGGAAATTTGTGTTGCAGCGAAAATTATACCAGATGAAGCATTTGCAAATGCGCTGAATTACCATTTGTTCCAATTACAACCGTTCCGAAAATTTTTCCAAAAAAAATTGGACGACGTAAAAGAATTTTCAAAAGTAATGCCAATGGCAATTGAAACGCTTGTTAATAATTTGCCAATAGTTGATTTATGCGCGCATATAATAATTAAGTATCTCAGCAAAAATGATTTGGCAAATTTGAATATGTCATTTTTGTAAAATGTTTTTTCTCAATACCAGAAGACTTGTTTAATTTTTATCAGCTGAAGATTGTATTTTATTTAAATCTAGTTGAAAATAAAGAATTTTCATTGTAAACAAATGGATTTTAGAATTATTTTAGATTAACATATTTTTTATTCAATCACTAAATTTTCAAAAAAACTGTCTAAAAAATTATTAAAAATATTTAGTGTAGAGAAGCATTTTAAAAAGGTTTCAATTTCAAATTTTAGAAAATAAAATTTTTTAATAATTATAATAAAAAATTGTGAAGAAAATATTTTTTTTTTAAAGTTTTATTTAAATAGTTTTTAAATTGTTTAAAATTTCGTAAAAGTAGACGACTGTGTGATTTACCGCAATGGAATCTGTCTACAGTTTTTACAAAAATTGAAATTGAAAAAAAAATTATTCACGTTAAAAAGGAAAATTAATCCTATTGATAAATTTTATTCAAATTGATTTTTTATTTTTATCCAAAATCCAAACATAATTGAATTCTTGAGAAGAATTTTATAAAATCTTTTGAAAATAATTAATAACAATTAAAATAGTTAGTTACTTTTTATGTGAATTTTTGAAAATTTTAAATCGCGATATTTAAAAATAAAAAATTTTTGTAATTTGTGTAATAATAAATTGAATATTTCTTTTTCGGCCTAAAATTTGCTATAGTTTTAGTAAATAATAAATTTGAATAAATAATTACAAATTTTTGTAAACAGTTATCAGATAAAAGTAAAAACTTTACTTTTTCTTAATAGTAAATAGGAAACTGACACATCAATAAAGTCCTCGGAAATAGGTATCATTACAATTATTTACTTTTCCTTAGTTAATTTCATTAACAATGTCATTGCTTTAACTGCGTCTCGTCGTGACTATTTTACTATTTGAATAAAGTTATGAGCCATTGAGATTTTTTCCATATTTCTTGATATCGTTGACTGCATTTGGTTGACAAATCCTTTAAAGCATGCACCAATCTAAAAGTAATTACATTCTTAAAAAAATTATTTTTCTTAAAGTTAGATTTAAAAATTTTAAATTTTCAAAATTTAAACATTTTTATAAAACTTTTTAGAATATTCTTTTTTTAAATATATTTTACTAAGAAACAAAGTTTCGTTTTAAGCAAATTTTATTTATGAATATTTTTTTCTGTATTTAATATTATTTAGACAAATTGCTGGTCAACTATTTCTAAGAAAATTCGAATTTAGAAATTTTTATTAGTTTTTAAATTATTTCAGATTCAAAAATTAAAAAACGTACATATCAACTAACAAATTGCTGTGATTTATTATTTTCTAAAATATTTATAAAATTCTTTGAAACAATTCAATTTTTTTAAAAAAATTTAATAAAATCCTTCGGAAGAATGGAATTATTTTCATAAATAATGTAATTGTTTGCAAATAGAGTAGGATTGAGTGAAGAAATCACATTTTTACTTTTCACGCAATAAAATCAAAATGCAAATTTCTTGTTTTTTAATTTTCAATTTGTATACTTAAAATTTATTTATTAAGATTCAAAATTATTGTAGAAAACTTTTTTGGATTTTGTGAATGGAATAAGTTATAAGAATTGTAAGAAAGCATTGTTAATGCATTTTTTGCATTACCTAATGGGGATAAAAAGATATTTTGTGATTTTCGCAAAATACTTTATTCTTGAATTTTGTGATATTATATATTTCTTTTGTTATTGAAATTGTATTTCATGTTAAATTTACCAGCTTTTAATTTACAGTTATCAAAATGAGCAACTCAAAAATAAAAATTCCAATAAAAACTTAATATTATCGACACTTCTATACTAGAATAAAAAGTTACGTGTAACTTCAACTGGTAAAATAGTTTATTAGTTTTAATATAAAACCTAAATGTCTTTTTCACCCCAATTCTACTCTATAATAAAATTCTTTCTAGAAATTCAATTATTATCATTAATAAGAAAATTACAAATTTCACAAACAAGAGGTTGGTAGACACCCTGTTAAATGTATTATTAAAAAAAACCCGTCGAATAAACCAGGAAAAATTTGGACAAAGCCGGAAATTGTTTTCAACCAAAATAAACACCGTGTTTAACTTTTGCCTTTACATTGCTCAAAATATCTCTAAAAGTTAAAAAAATTCAAAACATTTTTATACTTACATCTTCGTTATAAGAAAGTATTTTTGAAAAATTATGCTAAAATGTGACTAAATAACATGTAATATTCAATTATATAAAGTTTAAAAGCTATCCATTAAAAAATGTAAAATTTAGAAATTTTCGATTTTTGAAAAATATTTTTATATTTCCATTTTAGTTATAAAGTAGTATTTTTTGCAAAATTATGCTAAAATGTTAATAAATAACATGTAATACTCAACTATAGAAAATTTAGAAGCAATCCATGAAAAAAAAATTTAGAAATTTTCAATTTTTTTAATTATTTGAAAAAATTGAATATCTCCCGTTCTAATTAATATTTTTTTTACTCTCGAGTAACTGTACTAATTATAGTCAAATTTAATAAAATAATTATTTAGCCTAAATATTTCTATTGAATAAGTAAAGTATTACTGAAGAGCACAAAAATAATGAAGCTAAATGCCATAAAAAAGAAGAAAAAATGTTGAATTTTAGGAAATTCGGTTTTTTGAATTTTTGCTAATTTTCCATAATTTTAGTTTTTTTACCGGAGAGTGGAGACTATTGAATAAGTAAAGTATTTTTGAAGAGCACAAAAATTATGAAGCTAAATGCCATAAAAAAGAAGGAAAAATGTTGAAGTTTAAGAAATTCGGTTTTTTGAATTTTTGCTAATTTTCCATAATTTTAGATTTTTTACCAAAAGGGTGGAGGCTATTGAATAAGTAAAGTATTTTTGAAGAGTTCAATAATAATGAATCTTAATGATATAAAAGAGAAGAAAAAAATGTTAAATTTTAAGAAATTCGGTTTCTCGAATTTTTGATAATTTTTGATTTTTTGCTAAAGGGTGGAGACTATTCAAATAGTAATATTATAAGTACTACCAAAGTAGCTAATGGTAACTAATTATTAATTTTCCGGTCAAATTAAATTCTCGTCTATTTTCTGATTTTCCAGATTGGTAGAAACATTGTTAAATGTATTGGTAGAAACTTTAGTTTACGGGTTTTACCCGTCGAAGACGGGTACGACGGAAAGCAATTAGACGATTCCGCCGTAGAGAGGTTCATTAAAATGCTATTAGTGAGTGAACGTTCAGGGATGTGTCAACCATTTTAAATCATATGATCTTTAAATATATGAAATAGAAGTTATGATAATTTATTAATAACCTTATTTAAAAATATGTATTAACAATCATTGAATTCTTGCAAAGAATTTTGTCAAAAAATTTGAGAATAATTGAATTCCTTCGCAGAATTTTATTATTTATGAAAATAATCGAATTCTCGCGAAAAATGTAATTAAAATTTATAAAAATCTTAATTAAATTCTTTTGAAGAATATCTTTAAACTTTTTTAAAATAATGGAGTTTCTTTAATAGTTATAATTGAAAATTTTGAAAGTAATTGAATTATACAAAGAATTTTTTCAACTTTTTCAAATAATCGTGTCTGTTAATAATAATTTTAAATATTTGATTTTTAAAGTTGATTAAAATTGTATTAAAAATAATTGAATTCCTCAGGAGAATTTTATTATTTACAAAAAATAATTTAATTTTTGCGATAAATTTTAAATATATAATTATTTTTTTAAAAATTACTTTGATTTGTTATTCTATTTATTTTATCACTTTTTATGTTTATTTTTTATAATATATAAAATATATCACAAAATAAACAAAAATTATAAATCAAACATAAATTAAATAATATCAATAAAAAAACATCTGTATAAAAATTACAATTCGAAACTTTTCGGCCCTGAATTTCATGGCATTATCAGTGAGAGTCACAACTCTCACTGATATAATCCCTTCTACTTCTACCTGGCGATTTTCCACCGTATAGAAGTCCGCCGTAGCGAGGTTTGCCTGTATATATTAAATACAGCTTGCTAACTGAATGTAAAAAAAATTATTAATATTCATATTAAAAATTAATAATTAATATTAATTGTTTACCATATTAGACCATCTTGGCAAATGATGTTACATGTAACGTGTTGTAAAATAATAAAGTAGAAATGTGAATTTGTTGAATATCTTCTTCCTTGTTCTGCACTTTTTAACCATTGTCGATGCTCACAAAAATAATGATAAAGTGGTAACACTATTACACTAATATCATGAACAGAAGCAATTGTCAATAATGTCTTGTCATTGTTGTATTCTGCTTTTCCATGCCATAAACATCCAATTAATTACCCTTTTGCCACTTGTATTTATTCTTCAGCACTCATTGTTTATCTGAAAATTAATTTTTTATTTACAACAAAAGAACAATTTTTTTGTTTTTGTTTTATTTCCTTTTAATTTATTATTAGTTAATATTCTTGTTTATTATTATTCTTATATTGATTTATTTATATTAAATTACCTTTAACATAAAGATGGTATATCGGATGCTAATGTTTTCTTGAAAATATTTGCAGCATTACTGTCAATGAAAACGTTTCACAAAAATACAACAGTGTTAATGAAAATGCAATCTCTATCGCATAAATTATAATCCTATAAATTCCGAGATTGAATTTTTACTTGTGATGATAAAAATAGTTTAATATTTACTCTCGTATTAACTGCCATTCGACCGTGATCGCCAAATATCTTCTAGTCACTCCTGTCATTTCCATTACTCAACTCTTTTAAATAAAAAAAAATTATTAGTTTTCTTTTATATAAAAGAAAAATAAGTTTGTCTTTTTTAAATTTATATTTAAAGCTAGATAAATAAATTAAATTAAATAAACTATGAAAGTGTGAAACTACTTTGTTTTTTTAACTTTTACATTTTTTTAACAATCGTTCAAATAAATATTATAATTAACTGATCATTAATAATTATTATTTTTACTAATTATCAATTTTATATTATTACAATGACAGAGAATTTTATCTTTTAATGTATATTTATAATTAATCAACTAATATTCGAAGCACATGTTTCAAAATAACAACAAACCTTCTTTTACGAGATGTCAGATTTCTGTTCCACATTCCGCTCAAATAATCGCTACGCCATAGAAATAACATAGAGCGGAGGCAAAACACTCAAGATTAGTGCCTTCCCTGAGGGAAGGCATTAATGCGCACGAGTGTACATTCTGTCCACAGTAAGAGAGAAAGGTTGATAGAGAGAAAGAGAGGGAAGTATCGCCTCTCCTTTTAGTTTAGAGTAGGAGCGAAAGAGAGGCGAATATTATTATTATATCTATATATATTAAGTTAGTCTTTTCTTATATATTCTGTTTACAGTGAGAGAGAAAGAGAGGGAGGGAGGTATTGTTCCTCTTTTTAGTTTAGAGTGGGAGCGAAAGAGAGACGAATAGTTAAGAAAGTAATGCCCACTTTTTGAGTTTAGAAGGGGGTATCATGTTTTCTCCATTTTTCGGGTCAGGTAGAAAGAGAGGAACAGAATTTTATGGAGAAAGGAAAAGTGGGGAATTTTACTTTCAAGCCAAAATACGAAATGGGCGTCTTATTTCCTTATTGGCTAATTATTTTTCTTTTCCTACTCACAGATAGATTAATGAGTGAAAAAGAGGGCGATTGAGAACGAGGTATATGTTTTTGAAAATAAATCTACTTTTAAAAAAAAAATTTGAATTCAATAATTTTGTTATTGAGTAAATACATTTATTTATTTTTGTTAATTTTGTTTTGGATAAGTTTTGATTAAACAATAAATAATAATTTCATAACAACAGGCTTCGAAGTCTAGTAGCAGGTCAAAAAAAGTGTGAAAAAGTAGCATTTTGGAAGAAAAAAGTGTCCTCTAAATTGAAAAAAAGTATCATATTAAAAATGAAGTAAAATTAGTTTTTTAAGTAAGAAAATTAAGTGAATATATGTTGTTGTCCAAAAAATTGAAAGAAAAAAATACTAAAAATAGGAATTCACAAAATTTTTTTTAAATTTCGATTTATAAACATAAAACATGAAAATATAATAGCTTTTTTGTCGATATTTTACATTGGAAAGTTTTATTTACATAATGAAATGTAATTGTTAATAATACTGAAATGAGATCTTTTATAAGAATTTGTTTTTTAATAACAGGCTCATAATTTTGAGAAGTTAAATTGACACCTTCTTTCTCCTTATTATTTTTTAAAAAACTATCAATAACTTTTTATCAGCCATCTAATTTTTAAAAATGAAACGTAAACATTTTTTAGTAATTTACTAATAACAGATATCAAAATGAAAAAAATGGATTGTTTTTAGTCATATAAATTTTTTAAATTTTAGAATCCACATAGCCATAATTTTGTACAATAATAAATTATGAGCAATTTAATTCCAATAAAAAAAATTATAATTTTTTTTCTAGATAGATCTTAAATCTTTATAAATGATTTTTTATTATTGAACAACCGACTTAAAACACTGTATTATTGAAAATACAATTAATATTTTTAAATTTGACATAAAGTTTGTAAACATAATATAATAAATAATCACGTTAAATAAATATTATTTTGGATTTTTAATCAAACAATTTATATAACCAAAAGAATTAAGTTTTCATTCTTAATTGATTTTTTCTATACTTGATGAAACTTTTATAAAGTCAAAAAAGGTATTACTATTAAATTATATAGTGAAAAATGAAAAATTTAGTTTTTAATTTTTTTAAGAAGCTTAAAGAATAATAAAATTAGATACGAAAAATTCGAAACGTTAAAAATTTGTAATTTAATAAACATCCACTATTAGTAATTATTATAATATATTATAATCACGCGTCCAATAATAAATTTAATTGATTTGGCGGGTTTTTTGAAATCTACGAAATTCACCAAAAAAACTAAAATTCTTGAATTCTGTAAATTTTTTTTACATTTTTTGGAAAAAAGTAGCATTTAGTAGCTTTTTGACAAAATAAGTAGCAAAAAGTAGGCTTGACCAAAAAAAGTGTCAAAAAAGTGGAAAAGTGTGTCACTTCGAAGCCTGTAACAAATAAATAAATAACTTGATTTGTTAAAAATAGGTAATAAATAGAAGTACGAAAACTCTAAAAACATTTTTTTAAATAATAAATTCAATTGAAGTTGTAATACTTCATAAAGTCTTTAATATTGTTAATAATATTGGTGAAAGAGATAAAAGTACATAGGTATAAAAAGAGATAGATAGGGGATAATAGGGTATAAAAAGAGATAGAAATTCGGAGATAAAAAGGTATAATATTTCGAGTATGCAAAGTGGCTATTTTAAAGGGATAGAAAAAACTTTATCTCTTTCTATCCCCAAAATTCTATCTCTTTCTGTATTTTTACTTCCAGTAGGGCGTAAACGAAATATAAAAGTAAAATAAAAAAGGAAAAATGTCTACCAAATTAAAACCGGACACAAAATCTGCCGCCAAATTCAGTATTTGGCGCATAGAAATTGATGAATTATTAAGGAGCATTCAGACCTCTGCAGACTGCCTGCCAGCGCAGGCAGAACATCGTTCACACCTTACTTTTCTCGTTGAAAAATGAGGGAAGATTTGAATTTTAATAGATATTTAAATCTTCCCTCATTTTTCAACGAGAAAAGTAAGGTGTGAACGATCTTCTGCCTGCGCAGGCAGGCAGTCTGCAGAGGTCTGAATGCTCCTTAATGAACAACCACAAAACACTGACAGAGGGCGGAAAGGCGACAGCGGGAAAAATAAAACTGGAAAAGGAAACTCACGCCAGGAGTTATAACACCTACAAATGGAGGAATGACACAGCCATACAAAAAACAAACTATCCAAAAATTAAAATCATAACCCCAAGTGAATAGAGTAAACTTGGAATCAATTTAGCGATGCTACAACAAATAAACAAAGGAAAGAAGCAAACAAAAACAACTGGCGGAAGCAAACCTGGAACTACAAAGGCGGAAAATGAAACTAAAACGAATGAAACAAGGACGATTGTAAACTCACAAGAAAAGTTAACTGAAAAAAAATATGCACATAAAAAATGTTGACGACAATACAAAAATAAATATGCAACAAGATAAAAACTCAACCGAGACAACAACAAAGGAAATAAATTTAGAAGAATTATTAACTGAAAAACCAAATAATTTTCAAAATAACAACAAAATTGATAAGGATAAAGAAGAAAATCTCTCTACAACGCAAAATCCAAAGGAAAGATTTGTAAATTTCGAATCTTCAAATAAATATCAATTATTACCAAATGACGAAACGGATGATAATATGAATATTTCAAATAATAATGACGAAGGAGTTAACGGCGACGAAATCCTAACAGACGAGGAGGAAACTCTGAGGACATCAATGGAAGGAGAAATAGACTCGACAATGGATGAGGACAAAGCGCGAGATACGATGGACAATCAAAGAACGAGCACAAGAAAACCAAGTAAGAAAAAATATCACGATAAGCGAGGATCCAACCACCAAGTAAGGACACTAAAAGGTAAAACCATTGAGAATGAATTTAAAAGTAAATTACCCCCCATTATTTTAGATAAAATCAAAGTTAAAGAACTTGTACCAATAATCAAATAAACAATAGAGCAAAGTAATTTTATTATAAAAAATCTAAAAAATGAAAAATTAGCATTATTTGTATCATCGCTAGAAAAATTTAAAATTATTTTAGAGAAACTCAAAAAAAATATTGAGTTGTGGCGAAACTTCGCGAGACTTAAGTATTTTTGAAAATTAAATGACTGAGGATTAGGGTTCAGCTCACGACAGTCGACACAAGGGTTAATGAACGAAATCTTCACACATCAAAAGTACACTTTACCAATAGTATTAATTAAATGAGCAATTGCAACATTATTGAAAGACGAGACCAATAGACGAGATAGAGAAGATTGAGCGAACTTACCAAATGATGCAGCGCAAAGGTTGTCCTATAAATGATATTCCTAATAATGGGAACAAACACAAGAAAACAAAAATAATTAAAAAGAAGATATTTAATTATCTATAAAGCGCGTTACAACTATGCGTCGATGCGCAATATGCACAAACACACATACACGCGTTATTCCACGTTTACAAAAAGAGATCTCGTAGATCTCTTCGGTGTACGAAGGCACGCTTCTCTCTGATGAGAATTTTCACGTAATCGTCATCGTAACCATAAGGCCATTCGTCTTTGGTCCGATGACACCCGAATTTATAATTCTTTTAACGACCGGTGGTCGCAGTAGCTATTAGGCTAACACCTAGCGCAATAAGTTGTGAATTGGGAAAACAATCAAAAAATGGCATATTTAAAGAAAAGTAAGAAAACGATTTGGACCGTTACAATTCCCCCCTTCTAAATTGCTGTTACAGACTGTTTGGCCAAGCTCTATCAATCGTTTTTGAATTATAATCTCATATTTGATTACTCGTCTCAAATCATAGAGTTGTGCTAAATTAAATGCATAAGAAAATATAAATGATTATTTAATTGTGTCATGAAATAGAATAAAAATTGATAATTTATAAATTATTTAACCAAAATTTTTAACCAATAATAATTTGCAACTGCTCACTTTGGATTAATAATTCTAAGTAATATTCGCAATAATATTCGAATCACGCGCAAAATGATGATTTTGAAAATGTTTAAAAACAATTTCGCTGCATAAAAATTTCTAAGTTAAAAATCGATGTTTATCCGTGGATTTAAATCGCTTTTTGTCAACCAGATCATGCGCTTTAGCTCCATCTCTCTGATGATCACGTATTGTTAGATTTTGATGCTCCAGCAGAACGAAGGTTTGACTTTGTGGTACACAATGGGTAGGCATCTTGGTAGTTGAAACAAAGTTGTAAACATCAAGAAAAACAGGTGCCTGGCGATGACACCGATAATGACACATTATAACGACTTTGAAATAATAATTTGCTCGAATGTGTTTGAGGAAATTATAATTATAAACTGGTACTTACTATGATAGCATGTACAAAGGGTTGCGTTATAAAAAAAACATCAATATAAGAAATTAATTTTCCTTTCGCTGATAGCAATGAATTTCTGCCGAGTGTTGTAACTGGTCGAACATCTTCTTCAAATTGCGATATCGTGATGCGAAGTAGACGATAAATTTTTTTGTAGGCTCTTGGATCCAGGTGATGAGGAAACGCGCATGACCAAGGTTTCTAAAGAAGCTAAGTTCGGAGAAAACATGACCAATGGATAATGTCCTTGCTTTGAGAAATCTCAAAAATAACATTTTATAGCCATTACAAATGAGATAGCTAATATTCTCTAAGCGGTGGTGATGATTGTTAGCAGTTGCTAACCATGACGCGTGCGCTGGTACAGATGAGAAGAAGCTGTTTCTCGTTTTGTTTCTCTTGCAAACTAATCTACTATTTTTTTATATTGCTTTGAAGGAATCTTTTGTTTTTCTTAAATTACAATTTGATTAACGCGAACGTAAAAATTTTTAGAGTTCTTATTTAAATTTTTTTTATAAAATATAAAATAATAATTTAGCTCTATAGCTGAGAATTAAATGTCGAATCACGTCATAATCACACGTTGCGCTCTTAAGCGTCTTATTGTAATGAAAAACGTTATCT